AGTTTCTGGCATATGTTTAAAACATCTTCAATATCTAAAACTAATAGCAGCTGATGGTGAGAGACTTTCTTGAAGATCATAGAAATGAATTTTACTGCCCACTGTTATGAAAATTATTTTTCTTCTAGTGTTACCAGCAAACCCTGTTCTGACAGCGACATAAATTCAATAGTATATTTTGAACTTCAGGTCTTCTGTGAGGTTCTACATAAACTCTGTTCAAAGGGTTGTACCTTAATTATTCAGGAATATCATTGACTTGGTAACATGAGTTACACTTTCTGCTCCTTTCTATAAAGTAATTTTAAATTTCTCCACTGCTCAAGGCAAAAGTGAGTATATTTAACACCACAATGAAAGTTTAAAAAGTAACTATAAATTTGTATGTATGTATGAATATATACTTACAAGATAGAAGCAAAATGACCAAAGGCCACTATTTTTTCTCCTCTTGCGAAAAATAAATGACACCATATATGTCAAGAAGACAAGAGAAGCTGCATAACCGAATGTAATCACCCCCTGAAGATAATACAAATAATATCAATCAAAAAATGAAATATTATCTAAAAGAAAAATTCAATTACAATTATTTAAAAAATTTTTTTGCACATGCATTTTGCAAGGTTTTTGATTTGGGTTTATGACAGTTAAAATGAAAACCTTTTTTTTTTTTTTTTTTTGTCTTTTGTCTTTTTCCGTGTCCGGCAACAGATCGCAACCCTCAGTGTTGCCCCCGTACCAGACTGGGGACCGGCAACAGGGTCGCAACCCTCGGCGTTGCCCCCGCGCCTCGCTCAGCCAGTGAGTGGGAACCGGTGTGTATGTGGGATCCGAACCCTCGGGTGGGAGCACCGCCATGCTTCCCAAGCGGCGCACTATCCAGTGCGCCACCGGGCCGGCCCGAAAACATCTTCATTATACAAAATATCTATGTTAAAATTTATTATTAATTACTTTATAAAATTTGGCCTATGCAACATTTTACTTACCATGGCAAACACCATTCGACTTGTAATGTGAATGTGCACCATGTCTGCTACGTATAAAATTAAATACGTTGAAAGGAGAATTAAAGTGAAGAGGTTAACATCCACCAGTGTCTGCCCACACCAGTAAGCAGAAGTATAGAGTCCTGAAATCCATAGCTGCGACTTAGCTTTCTTCTGATGAAAAAACACAGGATGTATAGAGATTCGATTAAAATGCAAATCCAAAACAAACACATTAGGAAAATTTTTAAAGATAATTTTCTAGTCTATATATATATTTTTTTCCTTTTTGTCTTTTTTTACTGACCGGTACGGGATCGCAACCCTCGGTGTCGCGCCCGTACCGGGGACCGGCAACAGGATTGCAACCCTCGGTGTCGCACCCACGCCGCGCTCAGCCAGTGAGCGGGAACCGGTCACCACATGGGATCCGAACCCTCGGCGGGAGCGCCGCCACACTCCCAAGTGGCGCACTCTCCAGGGCGCCACCCGGCCGGCCCTAGTCTCCTAATATTAAAAATAAAAATTATATATATGCTGTTTAGGAAACTGAGGTCTATTCATAGAGCCAGTTCCATAAATGCGGCCATTTAAAAAACTGCGTATTGATTTATTTGATAGATCTGATTCATAACACCTTTTTAGTTCATGAATAAAGAAGTAGACCTCATAATGATCAAAGCATTAAGCGCTCTCAAAAGAAATGTTATTTTGTGATAGAAAAAACAAAATAAAATTTCCTTTTCTAAACATTTTCTCAGAGAGTTACTGGCTCAGGATGGTGAAAGCCGACTTACATAAATCTGACTTAATTGTTTTGTCTGGATAGTGGGCATAACCAGATACAAACAGCATACAATTGCAATTACCAGGGTGGAAAAAAATTCAAGTATTAAATTTGGTCTAAATTTCAACATCAATAATTTTCTCCTTTAGTTAGGAAATAATGAAGTCAAAAGATTTATAATATTCCTCTTTGAAGGTTTAGACCAATTCGAGTCTCTGAAAAATCATTGCACTTTTCTATAACTTTAAAGTAAAAAGTATTCTGCCCTTTCAGAATTAAATTTTTTGACTTGCTAGAAATAATGCTTAACTACATTATCTAAATTAAACATACATTCAAATGGTTTTTTCCAGAGGAAAACATTTGAACACATAGCATTCAAAATACAATTACTGAAATTCCTGAAATTTTTTCTTTTTCCCTCCTTTTTCTTACTTTGTAATCGCTGACACTGCTCATGGCAATGTAAGGAGAAATGCTGCATACAACTGTAAATAAGAAAATGGAACCTCCCGGTAGCCCGGTCCAGAGGAATACATGGTCCTGCAAATAAAAAAGGTACTTTAAACTAGTGAATATTTTAAAAATGAAACAAATACTAATAATCATAAAGAATGGGCTTTTTGAAATACTGAAAAATCAAAGTGTAGATGTAGTTTGTCAACATCTATGCAAGGAGGTGGGAGAGAAAATTATATGTGATCATTTAACATGTCTTCAAATCAAAGAACAAAGAGAAGCAAAATCAAAGTGTAGATGTAGTTTGTCAACATCTATGCAAGGAGGTGGGAGAGAAAATTATATCTGATCATTTAACATGTCTTCAAATCAAAGAACAAAGAGAAGCAAAAAAATAATTCAGGACCTCCTTCTGGGTATATTACAAAAGAATTGGAAGCATGGTCTCAAAGAGATATCTGCACACTCATTTTATTGCAGCACTTTTCACAATAGCCAAGAGGTGGAAGCAACCCAAATGTCCAAATGAATGGATAAACAAAATGCATATATACATGCAATGGTATATTATTCAGCCTTAAAAAGGAAGGAAATCTTGTCACATGCTACAACATGATGGACCTGGAGGACATTATGCTAAGTGAAAAAAATCAGTCACAAAGAGACAAATACTGTACAATTCCACTTACACGAGGTATCTAAAGTAGTCAAATTCACAGAAACAGAAAGTAAAGTGGTGGTTTCCAGGGGCTGGGGGAGGGAGAAATGGGGTTGGTTGTTTAATGGGCATAGAGTTTCAGTTTTGCAAGATGGAAAAGTTCTGGATATCTATTTCACAACAAAGTGGATATACTTAACACTATCGAACCATACACTTAAAACTGGTAATGATGGTCAATTTTACGTTATGTGTTTTTATCACAATAAAAAATAATAATGTGAGAATTGTGACCCTTGATTAAAAGATAATTCAGGCCTGAGAGCAGCATGTCTTTCTCAGTAGACCTAGAGATGGATACATAAAGATCTCAGAAGCTGGGTGCATGTGTTCTGAAGCTCAGAGCTGAAAAGGAAACTTGGTGATGCTAAACCCATCTTCAAGGAAATGAGCTTTAAGGTGCTACCCCCAAATCAGTATCTGCCTGAGGCTAGGCTTATGACCAAACAGCATGTAAGACCTCCTTGTGGATATAATTACAGGATAGCAGTAGGAGCCTGTCTCAAAATAAGTCTGCAGTTCTTAAACCTTATTTAAGGCTTTGGAGGCTATGTCTATAAATCCACTTATTCAACAAGTGGGAAAATGCATTACAATTATCAGAGGAATGGCTGAAAAAGGAAAGGTGTGTGCCATGGGGGTGGGGTCAGACGCCATGACCTTGAACTGTCCTGTGCTCTCCCTGCTCACAGGGCTGGTCAGTCTCACTTCAGCTCACAGGTGTATATGTCCATCGTGGACCTCTCAAGTATATCCCATTCCCATGTTCCCCATTGCCTGCAGAAAATCTGCACTTGCAGGTACTCCCAGCACCACTGATGCAGTGAAGACAGAATTGAATTTGACATTTTTGTCACAAAATGGGCTCCCCTTTTGACTAGACTTTCCTGTTTCTAATCCTGTTTATTGCTTTTCTCAGCTTCTGGCATGGAACAGCTCAAAGATTCAGTTTTGAGAGATCCCTCCTGATATCAGTGAGGGTCCAACCAGAAAACGATAACCATCTTAAGTCCTTAAAATAGAAATTCATTATGAAATGGTTTCATAGGTGATGATCGTCAAGAAGGATGATGATGTGGGAAGCCATCATCACTTCTGGGCTGCAGGGGCAAAGAAGGAGGTGATGTGATTGAAACCCAAAACAGGAGTTCCCCCTGCCCTGCTCTCTTGTCTCCCACAACTGCTTCCTGGTGTCTAAACTGTCTAAGACCAGACAGTAGCCAACTGACACAAAGTCCCCAAAATGCAGCCTGCATGTATCAGACTCCCCTGCAATGTAAAGCAACGATGGGTAGGTGAAGGAAAAAATCGAAGAGCATACAGCCCCAGAACTAGCAAATTCTCCTTCATATTAGACAATCTATTATACATTTAGTCAATGGAGGGTCCACTAACAGATTAAATTTAAAAGATTCTAAGGTGGGTTTACAAGTGCTTCTCATGGCTAGTTCAGTGTTCTCTCTCTCTCTCTGTCATACACTTCTGCAATCAAGTATGTACTACTTTTCAGAACATTCCCTAGAAGATTCTAAGGTGGGTTTACAAGTGCTTCTCATGGCTAGTTCAGTGTTCTCTCTCTCTCTCTCTGTCATACACTTCTGCAATCAAGTATGTACTACTTTTCAGAACATTCCCTAGAAGATTACAACGAAATATTGAAAAGTATTCCCCTATGAGAATTCTCTGAAAATAACTTGGCAAGAAAAAATATCATATTTTGTTTGATACAATCCATATAAAAATGTTAGGACAAAATAATAATAATTTTCATGATTAATAATCAATTACAAATATTTAAAAGCTAAAGAAAGAAAATGTAGGTTACTTGTCAAATTCTTAATTGTTGAGAATCAGTAAATCCAATACTTACAAAGTAAAATGGGCTTCTTTCAATTCTAATAGATTGTGTATGATTAAACATTCGAAGTAGCCCATTGCTGATAATATTCATAAGGATAGGAAAACAGTGCAGTCTCTTGGTATTGCACACAACAGAAAATCTATAATCCTTCAAACAAACAAAAACAAATGAAGTTAATAGTGTTAATTCTAAATCCTTAAAGAACAAGGCAAGGTTTTTGTATATGATATCCCAACAGTGCCACATTCTAGCTGTGTGTCCATCTTCAAGTTAACTGACTCTTCTGGGCTTCAGCTTCCTTCTCTGTGAAAGGGAATAGTAAATGGGTTGTTACATATTTTAAATGAGATTTTATATATATTAGGCCCTAGCATAATGGATAGTACAGAGTCAGCATTCATTCAGTGTGAGTTTTTATTAAGAGTATTCATTTTAAATCATTTTATTCACATTTTGCTGATGAGGAAATTTCAATTAGTGGAGTTTAAAAGTTTCCCTGATGGGGAGACACTGCCAGTTTGCTGTGAGCAAGCAACAGAACAACAGTGTTACGATTACACACCTCATGTCTATGAAAATGTTCATGCATTCATCAAGAGGTCCAACAATGTTTAAATATTATCAATAGTTCATATAGTAAATAGGCTCCATAAGTAACAAAGAAAGCAGCTGCCAATCAAAGTAGTTTCCTAAAGTTCGCACAAAGGGTTTACATTTTTATGATATATTTAGTTTAGGCAGAGCTGAATTCAATGATTCATCTTCAAAGGCTTTTGTTTTTATTTCCCTTGTAGCAAGAAATAAAAAGGTACCTTTATTTAATTTGACCCCTCACTTTTATTGGAATGCAAATAAAGCTCAAGAGTTCTACGATTATGACATATTTTCAACAATCTTGTTTCTCGATGGATCTCTATAGCTCTTACTTTCTTACCCAAATTGAAATATGTTAAGATAGCAGACAGAAAATACTTTTCTCACAGAGATTTCATGTGGATATTTCAGTATTTAAAGTATTTTCTCAATATATAAAAACATCATTCAGGTAGTTAGCTATTGAATAGGATTCCTAAAATTCATAATTGTATTGGTTGATGATTATAAGCTGTGATATTTATATAGAGTTTGAAAAATGCAATTGAATTTAGCTTCTTTCAAGTGTAAAAATTATCTAATTCAAAATAAAAATTGTTTTCCTAAAACTATTTAAACATCACAGTTTATTCAATAACACCCTAAAATGTTTTTCTGAGTCAAGTTGCTGTATACGAGCTGGGTTGACTTTTTGTAGCTTTTAAAACAGTTAAAATGCAGCACTTTCTTATTTATTGATTGATTTTGGGTCATAACAGTGAAAATATGAGGCAAACATACCTTTTGTTTACCAGAAACTACGATAGCTCCATTGTATGAGACACCATCAGTGCCATTTCTGTTTTCAAAGTCATCTACTTCCAAAAGTATATTTTGATGCTTTAGTGACTGAATAAAATCTTCAATATTTGATTCTAATATGAAGTCAATAACAGAAGACCATAAAAAAGCAAGAAAATTCTATTTAAGAGCTGTATTTGCAAAAAAAAA